AATTATATATTTTAAAATATTTCGAAACCTTGAAGGCTCTCATAACTGCAATCATAATTAGCAGCTGCTCCCACGCTTTAGCATTAAGACGCCAAAACATTTCGTTAATTGTTATTATAATTACTATGATGCGCATCTATAACAAGGCTAAGACGGACCATTTGGCGTTCATTTCAATGACTTCTACCTGGCTTTGTTCACTTTGACAAGCCCCAACTGACAAGCTTTAGCTATTTATTTGATTTGATTTTCAGCTTTTTTTCCATTACCCAACATAGATTAACGTCAACTTGAGACAAACCCTATCCTTCACTCTCTCTCCTGCTGTTGATTAGTCCCATCTCATCTTTAATTCAACAAACACCAAAAATGCTTTCAGCTTCTGCTGAATTTCACATAAACACAAAAGACTTAAGACACAAACTTGTTAGGCAAACAGCCCAAAGCATAAAATTCAAATTGAAAAATCAACTAAAGAGCTGCGTAAATATGCTTAACATGCACAACTACAACTACAACAATGTTTGGTATATGCCTAGAAAATACTGCGCAAATACCGCACAGATCAAAAGACCAAATAAAAGCAAATATTGTTGTTGTTGTCGCATAAATCGTGAGCAGCGGCTGCTGTTGCTGCTGCTGCTGCTGCAGTTGCAAGTTGCAGCTGCCCCCTGGGTGCATGTGCCAGATCAACGCTTCGACAGTTGATTAGTCAGCCGTGTCAAGCAAGGCGTACAATTTCGTTTCTAGACCAGAGTCTAGAAAAAGAGAGAAGCAAAAACAAAAAACAAGTTAAGACTAGCCAAAGCTATTTGTTAGCCAGTTTCAGTTGCCGCTAGACATACATATGTATGTGTCTATGTGTCTGTGTGTGTGTTTCTATATATATTTGTCATTCGCTGCAATATTTTCTCACAGTCCGAGCGACGTGTTGGTATCTACTCCATATATCGTGCCGCTGAATTGATTGCTAATGTGCATCTATAAAGCAGCATCTATGTATCTAAATGCACTCGTTTATGTAAATTTCCAGCAGCCTATTGCACAAGCTCACTGTGAGAATGAAGACATGTATACACTGTACATATAAGTATATGTATGTATATATATTCGGAGTCAACTTTTGCTTTCTTTCGGCTGCCTGCTTCAGTTGACTCGACGGCCACACTTGGCTGGCGCTGTGGCTTTTGTTTTGTCAACTCGTAGTTATTGTGTCTAACTTAACTTTTGCAATTGTCACATTGTTTTAGCTCTTTGCAATTGGCTCTATGTAATTAACGTGTTGCGCATCCTTACGCAATTGGCTGCGAAATCAATCAGGTCAGCCGATAAAACCCGAAAAAAAAAACAATTTTAACAACTTTAGCAATTTAACTGTGCTTTTGATTCATTAAGCCTCGGGCATCCGCTTTGACGCTCTTGCGCAATCTAAATCATATGTATATAAACGATATATTAATATATATGTATGTGTAATTTGTCGATACTTTGGCTTGGCCAACAAATATTTTTACAGCGTTAAGGCCAAATCGAACGTGATTAAGGCTTGGGCTATTTCCAATTCTTGCTCAATTGAGCATGTCCGGCTGTTGAGCTACTGTGCGACGCTGGGTGCCCACTGTACAGTGGTCACATACTTACACGCACTTTCACGCGCAAAACACTTTCGCTTTCAAATGCAAAACTCTGGGCATGACTCAGCATTTACAATTTAATCTTAATGAATGTTAATGAAAAAAAAGAAATTTTCCTGACTTCTTCTGCAGTGTGAATCGCACGGAAAATAAAAGTTGTTTCGTTGGGTGAATAGAAAATGAGGAATAATTTTTAATAATAATCTTCTTTTTTTTATAAGAATTTTTTCATTAATTGAAAATGGAAAATCAGGGTATATAATATTGACAGTTCTAGCTGTAGTCGTTGATTGATTGACTGCAACACAAACACAGATTTTCTAGAGCTTGAATTTTTGGCATAAAATCAGCAGATAATAATTATAAATTATAATGATATTTCTCAATCAGCGCAGCTCAGAAAATTCTGCAAAATATTTCAAATAGCAGCAGAACTTTTAAATAAACATTATTTGCGCAAGAGAATAAATGTCAAACCCGTTATGAAAAGCTAAGAATTTTTTAAGCTGGCAAAGACTTTCAAGTATAATAATTAGATCAGCTTGAGCTTAAGCTATAGTTAGTATATAACAGTATAAATAAATCATTATACTGTGATTCACAGCTTATTTTAACCAACAGCTGAAGAAAAGTTTGTTGGTCTATAAAATGTAAACTATTATGGATATCCAAAAAACTTTAATGCAGGCTGTAAATGTGATGTCTAAACTAATACAAAATTAGTTAATTTATTTTTTAAATATTTTTTAATAAATCATATATATATATATTAAAAATCATATATACTTTTACATAGAACTGCTAAGTACTAAAAATATATATGTGATACATAACCTAATTCTTTATTAGCCAATTCTAACCAATCATCAAGGCAAAGCTTAAAAGTGTAGCTTCCTTTTCACAACTTGATTTCAAGAGCTTCAAGTATTTCAGTTGACGATGACATAAACCAAAGTGAAAATTATTTAACTGGAATGCGGACATATAAGTACTCTTTGCACTTTTGCTCTTGCTGCAGAGCTCAACTCACACTACTATATCTCTCTGCCCGCTGCGTGTACTGAAGACACTTAAATATGCAGAGTGTATTGAGTGGGCAAGCAGCTCATTAAAATCCGATAAAGATCGGATACGAATCGGTTGCCTCATAAATAAACTAATAATTATAAAATTAAAAATTACATATAAACTGTAATAATGCGCTTCGCATTCCAACACATATTTAAGAGGAGAAGAGGAGGAGCGCAACACTTTCTAAATCGCTTACCTAACGAGGGTTGTCATAAATTCTTGAGATTGCGCAAGCCCTAGCTTAACGAGGCGGCATATTTGATTCCATTTGATTTCTGAGCAGGTGCCTGGCCTCGGCTCATTTGGAAAGCAAACAAAAATGAAAGTTTTCTTCTTGTTTTCAGTTGTTGTTGTTGTTGTTTTTAGCCCGCAAGCGGCGTGAAATTTACATTTCGTTTAATAATTTGAAGCATTCCACGTTCACGTTTCGCCCCTTCATGTGCGTCGCGGCATAAAATTTGAGGAATTAGTCTGATGACGCCCAGCAAACCAGAAACCAGCAAACCAGAAATCGAAATTAAATTTGTTTTTTAGGCGCCCAAAATTGGGACTGTCTGCCGGTGGCGAGAAAAAAAAAAAGTTGTTTAATGCATTTGAATTTTCCGGCAGCCAAAAACAAGCTTCAAAGCCTCAGCTTTGGGGCACTGGCCAGGCAATTTCTGTTGCTGTTGTTGTTGTTGTTGCTGCTGTGGCAGTCAAAGCCATAAAATGCATTTCATTGTCGCTTTCGTTTTCATTGGAGTTCAATGTCCCAAGCACGCGGCGCATAAATTTTGCATTGTCGTTGAACGCCTTTGGCCCCAAAACGACGGAGCGACGTAGCGACGGAGCGAGGGGCGCTTCATATTTTAGCCATAAATTTGCCTGCACCCAGCGCAGACAGTGACAGCCGCAACTCCATAATTGGCCAGAGATTGCAAATTTCTGTTGAGTATCTTGGAACTGTGTGATCTGTGTGAGCCCAAAATGTGTAACGGCAAATCCACAGATCTATGTAGCAAGATATATTATATAGTTTTCGTAACGCATTCATTCAATTATCTATATATGCTTCTCTATAATATATGAGACAGTTAGACAATTAGCTATAGCTGCCTGTCATTTAGTTAGTCACACGTGCAGCTCGCAGCTGTGCAACAGCAACAGCAACAACAACAACAGCAGCTGAAGCAGTTTGTTGTGCAAAAGCCCTCATTAATCCAACTCTTTGATTTATGATACACTTTTGCAATAGGGTATTATAGTTTTAGCATGAACATGTTTATTAATGTGCTCCCATAAAGGAGATTTCTTTGCTTGCTCAGAGCATATCTATAAATTTACGATAGCGGTACAAGTTCAAGAATTGGCCTTTCTTTTCATTTATTCAAATAATTATTTGATTATCATTAACTTATTTTCTGCATTAAAAAAAAAAAAAAAAAAAAAAAAAAAAAAAAACATACATCTATTTTACATACATGCATTTTTTAACGTTTTAAAGTATGTATTAGTAATTCATTCACATTTATATATACAAACGACGCTAAAATTTCTGCACATTTAAATTTATATAATTATAGCTAAAAATATAGTCATTTTTTTTATAAATAGCTGAAGCATCGAAGAGTTTAAATATGAATATGCCTAGTTAACGTCAAATTTACATATTAAATATGCATAAAGATTGTGAATATACTAATATGATATGATCACATGGTCATATCATATCATATCGCTATATTATATAAAAATACATTTCTAATCAGTTTTACATATACATATGTACGTATTTAAAACTATAAGGCAGTATAATCAAAATAAGATAAGCTGCATAGCTTATATATATACATATGAAAATAATAAATTGATAGGGAATACCTGAACATCAATTTGGACAGATGTTTGGCACAAAGTTAGTCATACATATACATATATACATACGATGAACATGGCTTTGTGCCAAACATCTATCCAATATGTGTTTCAGGAACTCCCTATTATGTTATTATTTAAAAGACACTGCCAAGGCTTTCGTCTAAGACACTACAACACAACATGCATTCCGATCGTAGTTGCTGAATTGCTGAAATGGCAAGGTCACTTTTACAACTTATCCCCATAGAGGAGATGATGATGAGGAGATTTTTTTTTTTTTTGCAGATTTGCAAAACTTGTTCTTTTATTAGTTGTTAATTAAAAAAAAAGCAAAAAAAAAAAACTTGAGCCCTTTTATCATGTTTAACGTAGTTGAAAGTTTCTTTTGATAGCCAACTGCTTACAAAATCATATAAAAGCTAGACCTATAGGAAAGTAGAGGCAAGAAGATGTAGAATGAACACCCTTAGACGAAGTGAGATTGAAGTAAGATGGCTTTTTATACAAAAATAAAAATTAGAATAAT